TTCCTGATCCAGGCCAGGATGCCACTGTCACTGAAGCTGAGAGGGAAAGGTGTTCAGGGAAGAGAAATGTGAGTCCTCTGGAACTGGAGGGTATCCCTGTTTTCAGAGGTTTTCAGGTCTCACAAGCAGGGCCAAGAAGCAGGTGGAGTAAGGCCAAGCAGAGATGCTGCTAGGTCTTCCAAAAGATGCTTAACAGGCAGGGGATGACATGAAATGATCACTAGTAGGTAGGAGAACCAGGGGAGATTGAAGTCCTAACTGTCCAGGAATGGCCGAATTTCCAGCTGAAGAATGTGATTGCCTGTGGCTCTACTAAATCCCATGCTAGTGTAGCATTAGTATTCCTTAAGCATGTCTCACTAAGTGCAGTAATTATTCTCACTATCTAATCTCCAAAGGCCCTGCAGTTAATCAGTTAATCCAAAGGCAGACCAAGTGTAACACTACATGTGAAAATGTTCCCCTGTGTTTTGGAACTGTGCCTATAACCTGGACAAGAGGCTTCCAGTCCAGTGGCTCTCAGAGCCCCCCTCTGATGCACGGTCTGGAGGCTGGGAAGACAAAGGTCATAGGAATAATTTGGATCCCAGTCAGAAAGTGCCTTTTCAGTAAACAGGAAGACCTTTTGGCACTGTTTTCACTTGGAAAAGTTAATCTCTCTGGAGAGATCTGGCCACATAACTTGTATCAAGTGTATAATTAAAAGGCTGACTCTTGAATGAAATTAATGTAATGAAAAGATTCCAAGTTGGTTTTGTCAGTGCTAAAATGTGGCTGTGCAGCAGGTATTTTTCTTGATGTGTTACCTAATATTCTAATTTATCAGGAAATAAATGCCAAAAGGGATTAGAGCAACAAAGGAGTTTTTATGCAACAGCCTTTCCCTCCTCCCCTGTTTTTTTTGGTTTTCTTTTTGTTTTGGGGTGTTTCTTTAAGGAAACTCATGCTTTTAGCATCACAATTAACTGGAAAACTCTGTATTCCTGGTCTCAGGTTCTCTAAAAGTTAGGTGAGTGTACCATGTAGTGTGTACAGTGAATGTCTACAAGAGAGGCTGACTGGGAAACATTTGTACTTTTTGCTCGGTGAAATAATGGCTATTTGTATTCGAAGTCATGAAGCATATAAGAAGTCAAGGTCTGAGATGAACTTACGCATCTAGAGTAAAATTGTTCTGTTATTTTACATTACTTCTCTTCAAATATGCTTAAAAAGATGTTCACATTGTAGAAGACATGTACAGCCAAATATGTATAATAATAATAAAGTACATTTATGCATTTCAAACATAACCCAAGCACAGTGTGGCCTGACAAGTAACAGAACATCAACGAAGTCATGATTAGCTAGAATGTAGTAAACCCTTGAGGAAAATGAGCAAATCTTTTGTGAGTGTAAATCATTGAACTGTACAAATAATAATAACCACCATTGCAACTCCTGCGTGAGTTAGAAAGCAGAGCTAATTCAAAGTCAGGAAGAAGTGCCCTGCAGAGTAGTTTATGGCGGTACAAAAGACACAGGAAGCAGTGACAGTTTGTTCTTTCTGGTTCCAGTTTGCTCCCCTGGGTTTTACGGACATCGCTGCAGCCAGACGTGCCCCCAGTGTGTACACAGCAGTGGTCCCTGCCACCACATCACTGGCTTATGTGACTGCTTACCTGGATTCACAGGAGCCCTCTGCAATGAAGGTACAAGTTGTAATAAAGCCTCTATGGGATGCAGAGGCCAAGCACTGTAATAACACGTCATTCCATTACTTAGCTCTAAAACCAAAGACAATTTCTGTTGTAGAATGTGCAATTTATAAATTAGGAATTTTAAGCAGACTTAAGCTGTTTTACATTTGATCCTGAAGTACGAAACCCACTGTACTCTTATGTGATTATTTGTATGAGTATGGATATTGTGATTACCAGGATTTATAATGCCTCACTTCAACCTTATACTAAGCAACACATTTCTTGATGCAAACATTAGTTGTTTTCTCTTGAAATAAAGAAAATAAAACCTTGATCTGGTTACTAAGGAATTCTAATTCTGACAATGTCTTCTCAGTATGTCCCAGTGGCAGATTTGGCAAGAACTGCATTGGAATATGCACCTGCACCAATAATGGGACATGTAACCCTATTGATAGATCCTGTCAGTGTTACCCTGGCTGGATTGGCAGTGACTGCTCCCAGCGTAAGTAATAGCTCTTTTCCCTTTAATTGTAGAGCAAACAATCAGGATTCAGCTGTTTAAATTCTCTACTTTTCAGTAAAATAAAATAAAGTCAGAAATTCTCTACTTTTTGGTTAAACAAAACAAAGTCAGAAATTAGGACTTCATGGTGAATAATGAAGATATCCTAAGCTTCTTTGTGTTTTGTCCACACTATCAGAAAAACCTTTGCACTATTCTTTTCATAAAGAATTGATGAAAATTAATCCTTTCAATAAAAAGAATCATTTGCACTGATTCTTCTAATAACTGGGCTGTGTATAGGACAGGAGGGATCAATTTTCAGTCTTCCACTGCCCAGGGAAGAGTTGAAGCCGGATCGGGCTCATTTAAGAAGTGAAAAGACAAGAGGCAAAGCTCACAGGTTGCAGCAAGGGTAACTTTTACTAGATCAAGGAAGAAAAACCCTTATTGTGAGAGTGGCCAAGAACAACAGCTGTCCAGAGAGGCTCTCAAGTCTCCAGCCAGGAAGAGGCTGTGAACCTATCACTGTGGAAGATCCCTTGAGTAGTATGTTGGACTAGGTGATGTTAGAGGTCTCTTCCAGCATGTTAAGTCTGTGGCTTGATGAATCTTGCACTAGAGAGAAGGTTCTTGACCTGTGGTTTGTTTGCCTGTAATTACTAGTCTTACCACAGTTGTGCTGTGAACATCCCAGGGGTTGTATCCTCAAGGCAGGCTTATGAATAAGAGGTATTATTTTACAAACAAGGAGCTGAGGCACTGAGATACAAGATGGTTTTTCTTACTCTCCTTTGCAAAGAGAGCTACTGGCAAGGCTTAAAACAAAGCTGAGATTTTCTCAGATACAAGTTAGTACTCTGACTGCACAACCATCCATGCTCTTACGAAAGATTTGAATATTCTGTTAAGAAATTGCATGGAATCATAGAATTTCGGGGTTAGAATGGACCTTAGAGATCATCTAGTCCCAACTCCCTGCCCTGGACAGGGACACCTCCCACCAGACCAGGATGCTCAAGCCTTTGTGCAACCTGGCTTGGAACACCATCAGGGTCGGGGCAGTCACAGCCTCCCTGGGCAATCTGTGCCAGTGTCTTCCCACCCTCACAGGAATAAACTTTTTTCTCACATCCAGCATAGACTATCCCTCTTTCATTTTGACCCCTAAATTTTTCACTTTGACTTTTTTTTTTTTTAAGTGCTTTTAACTTTGTGATGGATTTTTCTCTTTCTTCAATTTATAAGAGATTTCTAGTGTCATTCTGCCTCACTCAATGAGTATTGTCTTGGTGTGCTGAACTTAGTGGAGACTTTGTTACTGACTTAAAAAACAGAAGGGCTAGGCCTTAATTTTATTATTTTTATAGAGTTATTTTATTAAATAATTAGTCATTCTCCATATGCCTTGCTGGGTCTATGCAAATTACTAATTACAGGGAAGAATCGTCTTAAGCAAGAAGCATATCCAATTCCATAAGGTGCTAAAATCCACACAGCCTGAAAACCATGCACGCCAAAATTTCAGTCAGCCCATTTTTGTGATTAAAACAAGCTGCACCCATACC